ATAGATAGATAGATAGATAGATAGATAGATAGATAGATAGATAGATAGATAGATAGATAGATAGATAGATAGATAGATAGAAGGCTGTTTCTCAGGGTGCACAAACGTGGTCATTTTCTCAGACAGCACATCTTCATTAGCCTTCGGATGAACATTTTTTTTCCTCCAAATTATCCCATTACGTCTGACATAAACAATCCAAAGTGCCGCCTCCCATTGGCTGGCCGCAGGGTCATGTGACCCCCGCGGCCGTCCGTCTATTTGACAGCCGCAGGATGGCTTGATGCCAGAGGGGGGAAAGAGAGACGGAGAGAGGGGATAGAAAGAAAAATTAGTATTCTCCTACCAGCCTCACTATAAATCAATCATGGAGTCCTACGTGGTGAGCTGTATATATGCTGAGCCGCAGTTCCCGCCTTGTGAAGAAGATTACAGTAATTTTACTGACCAAGGGGGGTATTACAGCAGCCCCCAGGATAGTGGTAGTTACGGAGGGGGCTATCAGCCAATGCAGCCCCCTCTGTCTGCGTACGCATCACAACAAACCGGCTACCAACCCTCTGTGCAGGGCCACCAGCGCGAGGATGGAGAGGACCAGTCGCAGCATCAGAGCGCCGACTACCCCGGGTTCAGGGAGGCGGAGGCGCCCGGGAAGGAGAGGTTTCCGGCGGGGGAGCTGGGCTGCCACCAGGCCTGGATGACCTGCAGCGCGAAGCCCGCTCAGGTGCAGAGGAAGGCGGCCTGCCTGGGCAAAGACAAGCCGCCCATTGTTGTCTACCCCTGGATGAAGAAAGTGCACGTTGCGCATGGTGAGATAAAATGATGAGAGGCGGACTTTTTTTTCTCTTTCTTTTCTTCTGTCGCTCCTTTCTTTCTTCTTTCCATTTGGGCGCATCGTTTTTGTTGCAGAATTATTTACGAGCTCAGAGAGTCCAGGCGAGAATTACAGCCCCTATAAAGTTTTATGGCCCTGCCACAGTGTGTGTGTGTGTGTGTGTGTGTGTGTGTGTGTG